GCCCCGGGGCCGGGCCAAGCCCCCCCTCACCTCAGGCCGCCCCGATGCTCCGGGAGGGGGCGGGGGCCCGGGCCAGGCCTGAACCCCCGAGCGCCGCCAGCCAATGGGGTGCGAGGGCCCCGCCGGCCCGAGACGAGGCAGCCAATGGGGGGCGGGAGACCCGCAGCCCCGCGCGAGGACACCGCTGCCAACCGCTGGGAGGGCCCCGAGGCCTCGCCGCCAATGAGAAGCGCCGACTGGTCCTCCCCGGCCAATAGGAGCGGGTAAGGCGCGAGGCAGCTCTGCAGCCAATGGGCGAGCGGAGCACGCCGGCCAATGAGGGCGCGAGGGCTCCCCCAGCCAAGGGGTGTGGCCAGAGGCTGGCAGAGAACCAATCACGCAGCGCCTTGGGCCCGAGGTGGGCGGGACGGGGGAGCCGAACGGAGACGGAAATTGCCGAGAGCCGCTTGTGGGGAGGCGGAAATAGCCGAGTCTCTTCCGGAAAGTGCCGAAGCTCCAGCGGCCCCAGGAGCCTTGGCGCCCCCTGGCGGCGGCCTCACCCGTGCGGACACGTGCAGGCATGCACTGTCACGCGTGCACACACATGCATTGTCACGCGTACAAGCACACGTGCGTGGACGTACACGCACATATATACATTGTCACACGTGCACAGGTGATAAGAGAAGCAAGGCTGGAAGGGACCTCAAGAGACCATCCAGTCCAGCCCTGGATCAGAACCTGCACACGTGCATTTGCACACCCGTGCAGACGCACACAAGTCTGCATGCGTTTGTGCACAAATGCATTGATGCAGACATTGTCACCTGTGCATCCACACATGCATGCACACACATACATAGAAGCATATGCACACCTGTGCATGTACTTGTGTGCACACATATGACTACAAGTGTGAATACAAATGTGCACATACGCATGCATTCACATGTGTGTACACACATGTATGCACACACACACACACATACATGCATACTCACACCCTTGCATACACACCCACATGCATATGCGCATTTCCCCCTCCCCCCACCTCCCATGTACCCCGCAAAGCAGGCACGTGCCGACACCTACCGGCCCCACTGAACAACAGAGACATCACACCTGCGAGTCTCATGGCCCAAAGGGGTTTATTGCTCCAGATCTGCGTGACAGCCGAGTCCCCAGGCCCTGCGCCCCCAGGCCCCACATTGCAGCTGGGGCTGGAGCCTGTTCCCGGCCCGCCGAAGTGATGCCAAACAAGCAGGGAGGGCAGGAAGACAGAGTGCACATGCACTCACGCCTGTGAGTACACACACACGTGTGTGCACATGTATGCATGCATTTTCATGCGTGCACACACGTGTGTATATTCGTGAGAATGCATGTATATGGGCACGCGTGTGTGTGCACGTGTGTGCACGCGCGCACGTGGGTGACAGTGTATTTGCACACCTGTGCATACACATGTGCAGAGCGCTGCAGGCAGGGACGCCCGGGGCACGTACATGCCATTTGAACCCGGAGTGAACCCATGGGTGCCCGTTAACCTGCTTTAAATCACACCAGAGAAGCAAGTAGCATCCTTGCACGGAAGTGGATGTTTCCTGGTCCTCCAGGCATCCCACACTGCCTTGCTTCTGCCCCCACCTCCAGGCTGCTGCAACCGGCCACTTGAGGAGGACGTGGACCCGGACAAGGCTCCCACCGGAACACGCGCCAGCCGGACCCCGAGTCTCCCGGTCTCAGAGAGAGGAAGTGACTGGATCCATAGAACCCAGGTGTCCTGGGGGCTGCCCGCTGCTCCCCAAAGGGGCGCGGGGAGGCGGCAGCCCATCACCCTGGCCGGGTCCTCCGGGCCCGTGTGAGGACCTCGTAGGCTTCTTGCACCTCGATGAAGCGCTGCTCGGCCTCCTGCACGCGGTGCCGGTTGTGGTCGGGGTGCCACAGCTTCACCAGTGCCCGGTAGCTCCGGTGCACGTCCTCAGCGGGCGCCCCGTCCGGCAGCCCCAGCACCTGCGAGTGAGGAGGAGCGGCCACCCATCAGACTGAGGGCTCCTTCCCAGGGGTGCCCACCCAACCCCCTTCCTGGGTGGTCCCATGGGACAGAGCAGGGGGCCCCTCACTCCCTCTGCTCCCGAAGCCAGGGGCAGAACCCAGGAGTCCAGGCTGCCTTGGTGGCATCACTGGACCTCCCCCCATGCTCCTGGCACCCTGTTGCCCCCCTACCCCATTGCCCCCTACCTCGTACGCCTGCTGCTGCTGCAGGTAGTGAAAGCTTTGCACGAACTCGTGGCTTTTCCCCCACTCGGTGCCCATCAGCAGCCGAAGGGGCATCAGCAGTGCCCGCCCCAGCAGCCGGCTGGCAGCTGGAATGACCTCGAGCCAGCCCAGTGCAGTTCCCACGGCCTCGGCCATGCGCCCAGCGGTAGCGGCTGTGTGGCTCAGGGTCCCATAGACCAGAGGAGCAGTGAAGGCCAAGCTGGCCAGGCCCAGGCGGTACAGCCGGGCGCCCAGGGGCTGGCGGGGCTGCGGGGTAGGCCGGCGGCGCCGGTGGTGCTGGGCCGCCACGCTGGCCACCAGGCTGACGGGCAGCGCAGCCACGGAGCGGCGGG